GGAGCAATTATACAGACCACACGGTGAAATTTTTGCTGAATTGGGTGAAATAAACTACATTCTCAAAATTAATTTCACGTGCTTTTTAGAAACCTTTCAAAGTGACTTACCAGAAATTTCTAAATTACTCATGTGGCTCAAATTGTATTTCCACTGACATCCAGTATTTTGGACATAAAAACATGTCTGCAACAAACCCACTTTTTTTTTTTTTTAAGATCTTGATTTTTTAAGTAATTTCTACACCCAACGCAAGGCCCGAAGTCACAACCCCGAGATCAGGAGTCACACGCTTTACCAACTGAGCCAGCCAGATGCGCCAATAAACCCCCTTTAAATATAAATCCACGCGTCTGCGAAAAGCAAAGCAGTGTGCAAGAGGTCCCGCTAACACTTGTGAAAAAACACGCGTCTGTGTCAGCAGTGATCAACCACACCTGAGAACAAAGACAGACCTAGGGATGAAAAGGGACATCTCATGATCAGGAACAGGTCACTGATTCACCAAGACGACACACATCACATCACATCCTCAGTGTAGATGCACCTAATGTCACAGTTTTTAAAAATGTGAGGCAAAAACCAGGACAACAGAAAATCAGGCAAGCCCACACTTATATTTAAAATATCGGGGCGCCTGGGTGGCTCAGTCAGTTAAGCGTCCGACTTTGGCTCAGGTCATGATCTTGTGGTTTGTGAGCTCAAGCCCCACGTCGGGCTCTGGGCTGACAGCTGGGAGCCTGGAACCTGCTTCCGATTCTGTGTCTCCCTCTCTCTCTGCCCCTAACCTACTCACATTCTGTCTCTGTCTCAAAAATAAACACACGTTTAAAAGTAATAATAATAAAGTAAGATAAAACAAAATACTGATTTCAGGGGCACCTTGGTGGCTCAGTCGGTTAAGCATGTGACTTGGGTTCAGGTCATAATCTCACGGTCTGTGAGTTTGAGCCTCGTGTCAGGCTCTGTTCCTGCCAGCTTGTTGCCTGGAGCCTGCTTCGGATTCTGTGTCTCCCTCCCTCTCCTGCTCACGAGCGCCCTCTCTCTCTCTCAAAAATAAACATTAAAAAAAAATTATAAATTCATTTAAATAAATGCTGATTTCAGGGGCGCGTGGGTGGCTGTTGGTTGAGCGTCTGACTCTTGATTTTGGCTCAGATCATGATCTCACGGTCCGCGGGGTGAGCCCCACTTCGGGTTCTGCATTGACTTCAGAGCCTGCTTGAGACCATCTTTCTCCCTCTCTCTCTGCCCCTCCCCGGCTCATGTGCGTGTTTTCTCTCTCTCTCAAAAATAAACATTCAAAAAGAATAAAAAATTAGGAAGACAATACTGACTTCAGAATCAATACAAGTACACAGTGTTCTTCCCGCTGAGGACGACCAGAACCGTCGCCAGCTGGGTCTGAGCACCACTAACAGAGTGGCCTCCAGCTGCCACAAAACTACAAGAACACACGTTCCGGTCAAGTGCGGCGACATACCAGCCTCGAGGCATCTAAAAGGAAGGAAGTCGGGGCGCCTGGGTGGCGCAGTCGGTTAAGCGTCCGACTTCAGCCAGGTCACGATCTCGCGGTCCGTGAGTTCGAGCCCCGCGTCGGGCTCTGGGCTGATGGCTCAGAGCCTGGAGCCTGTTTCCGATTCTGTGTCTCCCTCTCTCTCTGCCCCTCCCCCATTCATGCTCTGTCTCTCTCTGTCCCAAAAATAAATAAATGTTGAAAAAAAAATTTTTTTAAATAAATAAATAAAAGGAAGGAAGTCAAAGTATACTCTGAGACCACAGGGAATTAAAACAAGAAATCCGTAACAACAACGAAAAAAAAATCTAGGGAAAAAAAAGCAAACGTTTGAAAATTACACCACACTTCCAAATAACCAGGACCGAAACAAAAATCACAAGGGAAATTAGCAAAACTGCGTGTCAACACGTAAGGCTTCAGGCACTGGTGCTGTAGGAAAACTCGACAGTGCCCTACATCAGTGTCAGTGGGGAGCCCTTCCGGAACGGCCAGCCGGTGCTGTTTATCGGCAAGAGGCCTCAGCTCCTCGGCAGGTCGCCCTCTTCACAGGCTGCTGGGCTGCCCTCACCTCCCGGCGGCTGGCCGCCCCCACAGTGGCTGATCCAGCTGTTCCTTTAAGGTGACGTTGCCGAGAACAAGATCAAATGTAAGTCTGGACACTGGGTGGGCGGCTTTCTCAGCTGCCGCACACCAGCCCGTAACTTGCCTTTGTGAAAGTAAACGTCATCACAACCGAAACGCTGAGTCTGGAGGATGCACCGAATGTTCCCGGTCTGCAGCGGGAGGGTTGCAGGAACAACGCCAGGCCGACAGCACCATCTAAACGGAACACAGGGGAAACCATGGGCCAGTCCTGAGTACACATCTAACAGAAACGTTGGCACGTTCCCAGAGACAAGGACCACAACATTCATCATGGCCGGTACGCGAACTAGTCAAAGGCCCCTGACGGAACGGACGTGCCGTGGTATCTTCACACTGGGCGCAGCACGTAGCAAGAACGAACCACCTACAATCCCATGTCACGATGCGGATGAATCTCAGTGGGAGAGGGGGGCCCAAGGGGCCTGAAGCCACTAAGGGCAAAGTGTTGGTGGGCCTGGGCCTCAGGGGGCGGGGATGTCTCCCCATTGTTTCTGTGGACATGTCACACACGTGCACTCAGCTGGTGACTCTCTAGTGGGCCCACTGGACGTGCCCCTTCCAGCCGTACTCAAAATGCAAACAGACCAAGAAAGCAGTAAGGATTAAGAAATATGTCAACTGAGCATCTAATTCTTGATTTCAGCTCAGGTCATGATCCCAGGGTCATGAGATCAAGCTCCGCCAGCAGCCTCCTTGCATGGAGCCTGCCTGGGTTTCTGTCTCTCCCTCTCTCTCTGCCCCTCCCCCACACTTGCACGCTCTCACTCTCAAAATACAACAACAAAAAAAGAGCACCGGTCTTTTTAAGCCGATAAATGACCTGGGGGCGCCTGGTGGTCTCCACCGGTGGAGCACGTGACTCTTGACCTCAGGGTTGTGAGTTCAAGAAGCGCCAACGCTGGATGTAGAGATCACTTAAAATTAAAACAAGTTGAAACAAAGCCCAAGAACCCTTCTCCCCCCAGAAGGTAAAACGTACAAACAGGAAGAAAAAATGGAAGTAGAAAACAAAACCAACGGGGTGTGTAAGGAGCAGCTAATCCTCAGCTCCCACGGCAGGCCAAGAGGCGGAAACACAAAGAGGCCGGCTCTGTGAGCCAGCTGGCGGCGGACCCGGCTTCCCAGCAAGGTCGTCGTGGGAGAAAGGGAGCACGAGACAGAAAACCCTTCCAATACAGCACGTGGCCATCACGGGTGTGCGTTCCGACCAACCAGAGAAAGAAAGGCCTGGGGCAGCCGGGGGCCTGCGGGTCAGGGTCCCCACGGGAACGCGGCTCACACCCACCTCTGGGAAGGCCTGGATGCAGGGCCTCACTTAAGACAGGGACAGGGTTTCAGGACCAGGAGGCCACTTCGGTCCCAAAGGGGTGCAGCCCCACAGGAGGCAGCTGCGGCAGAGGAGAAGGGTGCTGGGTCTCCTCTCCCGCCCCCAGCCCCGCCCGCTGCCGGAGCCCGAGTCCGCGTGTGCTGGGGCAGGAGGGGGACGAAAGCACCCATGTGGACGGAGCACGACCCGCCGACTGCGTTGTTACCGTCGGCAGCGTGGTGGTTCTTGGAGGATGCGGACGTACGAAGGGATATGCAAGCAGTGAGCGCAACGTGGCTGCTGGGAGAAGGAATGAGGAACGCGGCCGAAGGGTGCAGGGTGGGTCACTGTCACTGTCGGCTGGGCAGCAGTTTGGTCTTGGCCGTGTGCACCTGGGACTGTGAGAATAACGAGAGGTTTGAGAGCGAGCACCGGAGAGGCGTGATGGCAGCGGCCGCCCTGCGTCCGTTCTGATCCTAACGGGCGGCTCGGCACCACCTCCCAGGCAGGTGCCAGGGGGCCCCGCGCACCCAGCCCTCAGCTCCGACCCTGCCGCCCTGTTTCAGGCACAGTTCGAACACAGCGAACGTTCCGTGAGAAAGAAAGCCCATGTGAACGCAGAAGAACAGGGTTTGGCTTTGTTTTCAAAGACGGTAACCAGTTAGTTTTAAAACCATACAGGTTTAAAAGGCATTTTAAAGAGAGATCGACAAACTTCCCCCTAAGAGCCAGATGATAAATACCTCAGACTGCACCGGCCATCTGGTCTGTGAAACTGCCCCGCTCTGCTGTCGTGGCCCAAAACAGACGGAGGCCACACCTAAACCAACGGGCGCAGCTGGGTCCCAGTACGGTTTTACTTCAGGACGCTTGGATTGGAATCGCACGGGATTTTCACATGCCACGAAGTACTGTTTTTCTTTTGCCTGGTTTTCGATCACTGAAACATGTGAAAGCCGTTCCCGGCTCACAGGCCACACAAAGCCAGGCAGCAGCAGGACTTGGCCCGCAGGCCCCCCCCGTCAACACGTCACCACCACCAGACCCAAATTTCCCCTAAAACCAAGAACTTCAAAGCAGATTAACGAGAACGCCGTCTGTGCGCAGTGCAGTGCAGGGCTGACGAGGTCTGGCTCCTCGGGCGCGACCCCGGGGCACCCCCGGGCGCGCCCCCACTGCTCCTTCAACGACTTCTGCCCAACCCAACACCCCACTGTACCCCTTGTGGGAAGGGTGAGCGGCTCACCCACGGCTCTGTCTTCAGATCAACGTTTAAAGCAAAACAAGGCACTTAGGGATTTCGCTTCTGTGACACAGAACAACTGGTCTCTAAGTACCCCAAGAAACCCCGCACCAAAGGCGTCACGGACACACACACGGGCTTTCCCACCTCTGAGACCGATCACCGGAAGTGGGTAAAAGCACAAATAAACACATCAGCGGACACATCTGTAAAGACTACCCACCAAAAAAAACGCTTTTTCACATTAACAAGTCAGCATTTCAGTCACAGACAGTACACTCATCAAAGACGGTTTTGCTCCATATATTTTGAAATTAGTTCCAAATGTTGCTCCTAAACATTTCCAGAAGCTGCAAAAAGCTCATCTCTATTCATCGGTGATTAGAATCCAGCGGATGCCCCGGGTCTTTGCATCCCATGCAGCGTTGACGCGGAAATCACAGATACACGTAACACCCTCCACCGTTTCCCTGGAGAGCTGGGTTCCGGTCGGGGCTCCCGGGTCCTCACACCCCGAAGAAGTCCAGTCTGCGCCCCGCGCCCCGACCAGCTCACGTCACGGCGGCGGGGACCAAGCAGACGGCGGTGGCGGCCACCGGAGGAACGGAGCCACCCCGCCTGGGTTTCGGGCCCCGCCCGGCGGCGGCCCCCACGCCGGACAGCACGCCCCACCATCTGGAGGGAGACACAGGGATGAAACGTGCCGCCCACGCTGCCGTAGAGCTCACGGACTCCCCTGGAGGAGAAGCGTCCAGCGCCACGGGAACAGTGGAAGCTCCACAGCCACCACGCCCACCACAGGTTCCGGTCTCTTCCGATACGAAGAAAAGGCGCTTCAAGGCACCGGCACCACTCGTTACACCTCTGGCTGAGTACCAGGCCGTCTGGTTTCCCTTCAACCAGAAGGGTGCCCAAGACGCCAGGCAGAAGAGCCTGTTCGGCGGAGGAAAGTTCTAGAGCCAGGATACCGACCAGTTCTCTGGGACGGCCCACGCGCGTGCGGAGCTGGTGCGGACCTAACTGCCACCAAGCGTGGGTCGGGAACGATGTCCCCATTTCTTACGGGGAGCCGCGGGCAGAGGGGACAGCAGAGCCGGCTTTGGCTCGAGGCCACGAGAGTGCGGGGGCGGCTAGGACGAGCACCTCAGGGACGCCTCCCCCGGCTTCATCTTCTTGGCCTGCCCGTTAGGCCCAGCAGCCGGGTTCTGCCGCCGCTTCTGCAGCCTCTCCTCCTTCTTCCTCAGGTAGGCAGTCACATTGTCAAAGGTGGCCTTGTAGAGACCACTGAAACCGACGTCCACGCCAGCCACGCCTGTGCAGGAGGAACGGAAACAGAAGCCAGGTGGGATGGGGACCGAGGCCCTGACGCAGGGGGATCAACTCGCCACGGCCCAGACCTCCCAGCAGACCCGCGGCACCTGCTCCGAGGCGCCCCCATGACGCCCGTCTCCGGGTGGCCACGCCAGCCGGACCCAGGACTTGCTTCCAACAACACGCCAAAGGCAGGTCATCACCGGGAGACGAGGCACAAGGGCCGTGGCTCACACGCTCGTATGAGCCGCCCCACAGGGGTGCCTGTGCTGGGGACTGCAGGCGGCCTGCAGCCAATAGCCAGCAAGGAAGCGAGGCCCTCGGCCCAGCGGCCTGCAGGGACCAGGACCCTGCCAGCAACCACTGTGCGTGCCTGGAATCAGATCCCACCCCAGGGGCAGCGGAGCTTCTCAGAACCACACAAACAGCCCAGTAAGAAGTATTGTCGCCTTCACCCACTGAGCATGGGATACTCGTTACGCAGCAAGGTAATGGACGCGGACTGATCTCAGTGTCAAGGGTTGAGAGGCCTGATGGCCACAGACCAGCCCCACGGGGTCCACTTCACCCCGGTCAGAAACCCCACAGGGCCCGCTGCTCTGGGTCCCCTACCTCTTCTGGGACATCCATGCTCAGCTGGCCTTCCTTCCCTGTGTCTCCGCCCCGGTCCCTTCCCCCACCCCCGGCACCTTCCCCAAACCTGCGCTGTGAGCAAACTGGTTTACCTGCAGAACTTCAGGAAAACTAAGCCCACCTTGGACCTGGCCCTCCCAGGGGATCCACAACAAGACAAGCTGGCCCCAGGCCCGGCAGGGACGATGGCCAAGTATCAGGCAGGGAGTAGGCTCGCCAGTGTCCCCAACACAGTCCTGCTACAGACCCATTTGACAGTGTTGCTAAAGCAAATCCACACAGTGCTGGAAGGACGGATCCCGGTCACTGCCCTAGTCCTTCCACCCCGAAAGGAAAGCTGGAAGTTAACCCTGGGACACAGAGCCAACAAATCCCCATGAGAACGCCTTCCAAGAGACTTTAGGTCGTTGCCAGGGTCAACACAGACAGAATTCACGTGTGACTCTCTTGAGTTCCAAGAGCTCGGACTTCTGCCTGGGGAAGGCTTTGACAGGTGTCTGCTGCTCAACCACGTCTTAAGGCAGCTGACTCCCAAAGCTGGCCATGAGTCATCCCTGTGACACGGTCGCCTCAAGTCTCTGCCCAAGAAAAGCATCCTGGAAGTCGCTAGAAGCTGTGCAGCTAAGGGCTTGCCTTCCTCTATCAATAAAAACGAAGCGAGGTCTTGTTCTTGTAACGTTCTCAGACAGGACTATGTGAGGGCAGCACTCAGTGCTTACCACGGGCCCTTCAACTGACAGGGACCCGTGGCTCTGACAGCCAGGCCACTCTCCTCACACTGCAGCGCCACTCTGGGGGGGTGGGGGGTCGGCCTTCTCACCACGGTCTCTCCCCTTCTCTCGGCCTGGGGTTCACACTGGGTCCCACACTGGGCCAAGAAGACCCTCAGGGGTTCCAGTGATTGTCCCCACGCCTGACCTCATGGCCAGGAACCGCTCAGGGCCAACATTCGAGGCTCACGAGTCACCCTACGCTCCAAGTGAAGGCCCACCTGTTACCGGCCCCGCCCTGGGGACCAGCACCGGCAGCCCTGAAGGCAAAGGGGTGGACCCCGCCCCGACTGTGACCCCGGTTCCCATGTAGCTCATGGTCCTGGAGCAGGCTCACACTGGGCGTTCCCAGTGTGGGTGTGGGTCAGCCCCCCGGTGCCCCAACCAGCCACTGGCCTTCTGGAGGGGACACGGACGCATGCCACGCTTCCTGTATCCTTGCTCAGAAAGGCGGCTTCCTACCGTGTACTGCAACCTGGGATCTGCCCCTGGCCGTGGCCAATTCTGGATGTCACCCCGAAAACAGGCTGCGCCCACGTTCTTACCTTCCAGCATGGCCCAGTTCCCCCGGAGATGGGCGGAGACTTTCTCTACCGCGGGGTCTTCAGGAGCTGCCTGAGAAGACAACGGAGAGAGGCAGGACTCAGGCCGCGGTGCTGCCGGCGCTGGAAAGGGCAGACCCGCCAGGCGTGGTCCAGGCGGCCAGGGCCCGGGAGACACCCGCTCGGGCCGCCCGACACCAGGCAAAGCCAGCCGGCAGTCCCAGCGCGACACACACAGCCGTCCTCGCGTCTCGTTGGATAAAGACCCATGACGTGAGGCCACCGGCGTTCCCTCCACGTTGGCTTGTCGAGCGCGACCTTTTCTGAGGAGCCCCAGCAGACCCCACACATCCCAGCCGGGGGCATTCTGTTCGCCACCACTTTCTAGATGAAAATATCCCGAGAGGCTCCGGGCATCTACAAAGCCCTTGGTTGAGTGAGCACTTGTAACGGACGGGCCAGCCAGCACGGGGCTCGGGCGGGCTTTATCTCATTCTCCCTCGCCACGTCCTAGGAGATTAGGGATGGGCGGGAGACAACGCCACTTTACAGACAGGGGAGCCGACTCAGAGAATGTGCGAGGTTCACACATCACCCGGCCCACAGCCCACACCCCTTTCTCCACACATGGGCGCGCGTGAGTCCAGTCCCCCACGTGCAAGGCCACGTGCAGCCTGCCGATGTCGAGGCCACACACCCAAGCCACCCCAACTGTCGGTTCCTCTGCTAAAAAGACACGTGACCAGAAAAGTCAGAAGGAACATATGCCAATGATGGCAACTACCCCCCCCCCCCCACAAAAACACCACTACAGGCATCGTGACATGAACAGAGCTGGCTGAGGGGGGCGCCTGGGTGGCTCAGTCAGTTCGGCGTCCAACTTCGGCTCAGGTGATGTTCTCACGGTTCGTGGTTCGAGCCCCGCATCAGGCTCTGTACTGACAGCTCGGAGCCTGGAGCCTGCTTCGGATTCTGTGTCTCCCTCTCTCTCTGACCCTCCCCCACTCAAACTCTGCCTCACTCACTCTCTCTCTTCCTCAAAAATAAAGACATTAAGAAAAAAAAAAAAGAAGAGCTGGCTGAGCATCCCTGCTCCTTGAACCCACATCACAAACCCTCTGGACACCCCCCCGGCCCCCCCCCCCCCCCCCCCCCCGAGCACCGAGCCACGATCGAACTGGAAGGGGGCACAGCCGTCGCCCCCTCCACCCCCACTAGAGGCACAAGGCCAGCAACCTCACCTGCCACTGGCCGCCCACAGGCCTGCAGAGCACAAGGGGGGCTTCCCGGTGGTCCTGCAGGACCCACAGTCCCCGGCCCTCCTCGAAAGCGATGTCCCACACTCTGTGCCGAAACGTCAGCCGCTGTCTGTAAACCAGCTGCTGTCTGGCGGCATCGAGCTGGAAAACGTAGATCGTGGGAATACTTTCCGCAAAGAGAGAGAGAACTTGTATTACGGCTACGACCAGGCCCACGTGGTATCATTCGACGTGTACAGCTTAGTGCCGTGCCCGGGTCGCCCCGAACAGGGACCCGGCCATCGCCAACCTCTCGGCTGCAGGCTCACGAGCGGCCCAGCCGGACGCACCTAGCCGAGCCGCCTCCAGGCCGGAGAGCCGTAGGACTCTGGCCCAGCCTGCCCTGCGGTACTACGGAACCAGTGCAGCACAAAACAGGTGGAGAAGGTGACCGTCCCGGCTGCGCCTCAGACGGCACGGGACGCACTGGCACTCCCACCCGCTCTAAACCCACATCCTTGCTGTAAGACAAGCAAAGACGCCCGCGGCAGGCTTGTCCTGAGGACACACGAGATGTGCGGACACACCACACGCCCGTGCGGCGCATAAAGATGCTGGTGCACCCGCGGATGGCACGTGCCCCCGAAATCCTCCTCCTCAGCGCCCCTCGGCACCGGGAGCCCTCGGGAGGGCCAGCGGGTCGTGCTGTGACCTGCCCGGCCCTCAGGAGGCACCGACTGAGGTGCGTTCCACAACTCTTGGGTGGCTCTCGGGCACAGACTTTCTCAGGCACAGCCGGAGACCATGAACCGAGCAGCGCGTACAGGAGGGCCAGCCCACAGCAAGAGGCCCACGGACGCCCCGCAGCAGCACGAGCTCACCAGTCACACAGCAGCGCCACGTAGCCGTCCTGGCTCCAGTAAGTGATCCTGGAGGCAGCAAACCTCTGCAAGGGAGCACAGCAACGTAAATGCACGCTAGCTGCCAGGGACCCGGCCCCAGACTACTCTGTTCAAAGCGAGATCGGACGCGGCAAGACTTTGACGGTTGCCACCACGGTCGAGGAAGGAAAAAGAGACGACGGCCCTAGAATTTTCTGGAGATCGGTGAGAGAAAAGGAAGACACGGCAGGCCCCCATGACACAGTTCCGACGTGCCGCGAGAGACGGAGAAGCCTCTCGGTGGCTCTGGCCCTCCCTCCGGAGCCGATGCAGTGTCTTTGGAGCCAACAGAACTGGTCAAAAAGCAAGACCAGGGGGCAGCAGAGAACACAAGGAATTATTACCAAGACACAACAGTGTCGAGGTCCCCTGGTCCTGGAGAGGGAACCACCAGACGCCTGCCAGTCGGGAGAAGTGGAGGGAAAGGTCTGGTGCTCACCAAGCCTGGCCTGAGGGGCTGTGGGCCATGTGGGAGGGGGACTCCAGGGAGGGAGGGAGGCGAGGAGCCCGAGGGGTGGGGATGCTCCACCGACCCTACAGGCCGTGAGGGCCAGGCCCGAGGTCAGACAGCTGCTGGTTCAGGGTCCTCTCTCAACCTCACTGTCCCAGAGCATCAGAAGGTTCAGAGAGCACGAATATGAAAGTCACTGGAACAAATCAGGCCTCCATTCGCCACAGCCTCCGACGGGGGCACCAGCACGGCAGCCACCCAAGCAGGAGGCACCACGAGCAGGTGGCCAGAGCAGCAGAGTCGGCTGAGCCGGAGGCCCAGGCAGCCACTCGGCTGGGTGGCCACGGCCCCAGGGGTCCTTGAGGCTCTGGCCCGTGGTCAGGCCTGGCCTGCCCACTTCTGAGAGGGAGTAAGGGCAGCGGCTACAGAGCAGTCTCAGGGGGAGAGAGCGAGCAGGCAGTCCCAGGATGAGGCAGAAGCAGCCCTCATTCTCACGCGGACCCTCCTCAGGCTGGCAGGGGGCCATGTGGGGGCTCCGGGGGAAACGGCAAAGCTCCCAGTGACAGGCAGGACATCCTGCTCATCAAGAAACCACACCGAGGGCCAGCTCTGCAGGCCTGAACAGCCACGAGAACGGACTGCTCCCTCCCTGCCAGGCCCAGCAGGGCCTCCGGGAAAACCGGTGGGGCTGTCCTCAGGTGACCAACCTGGACCTCAGCCGTGCAGGGCACCAGCTGGGAAGCATCACAGAGCTGAGTGCCCATGAGCACCGAATCTGGAACACCTCAAAGGGCCGCCCACACATTCTCCCCTGAAAATCTTTCACAACCAAAGGCCCAGGTGACCTGACCTGAGGATACACTGGCCAGTGTGTCGTCCCAGGGGTATGGGGAGGGTCACGAGACTAATTAAATTCTCTGTTCAAGCATCACTGTCTTTTCTGTTTCCAAGCAGGATTGGGAGAGGCACTTCTGTAAAGCGGGTGTTGCAACGGACAAACAGCGAAATACAAATTATCTCCTACTTACGCGACCGGGCGCCCTCAAGGAGGACACGTGTTCTCCCAAGCTGGAACAAGTCTGTGCTGACGGCAGAGAGCCGTTTCCCACGCAACAGTGGCTCTGGCCCACGGCATCCCCGGGACCGGAGAGGCGCCCTGCAAAGTCCAATAAACCCACACCCAGACGCTACCTCGTCACCCCAGGGCTCCGCCGGCTCCTGCAGGCTGGTCAGGTGACAGCAGTGCAGCTCTCGGCCACTTCTGTACTCCCAGAGCCTCAGGGTGCGGTCCTGCACACAGCAAGGACAGGTCAGTGTGCACTTGCGGGGAGACCCGGGCCTGCCCCAGGCAGTGGGGGGGGGGGGGGGGGCGCCCTGACTCAGCGGAGCCGGCATGAAGGCTCTCTGTGCTCAGTCACGCAACCACTAAGAAAACACGTGACCCCCCATGGCAAAGCGGGCAAAGGACACGAGACGACCCGTCACGTACAGACCTCACGGACCACGGCGGCTGGGTTGGAGCCGAAGCACGCACACACGGGCACGCACACGCACACACACCGCAACAATCATGTGCTCGCACAGGAGAAACACGGGTCGGGCCAAGCACAAGGATGGTCCCACGTCCCTGTTTAGGAACAGTGAAAAGGGGGCGTCCATTTGTTCCCCCATGAGACCATCAACTGTGTGGCCGGTAAGGAAACTGGTGTGCGTCCCAAAGGCCTCAGCGCCCCGCAGATACACACGACAGAGGAAGAACTCATATTAACAAATGCAGGTCACGGCACTCGCTGAAGGGACGGGACACGCGAAGAACTGCACGTCTAAGGAGAATGAGCAGGGAGTGAAGTGCGGGTGGGCCGTCAGGTCCGCCCAGGAAACCCGTGCGCTAAATCCCGTCGCTGGAAACGCGTGCACAGGCCCACGCGCACCTGAAAACCTAACGCTGACTCATCCAATGAGACGCCACCAACACAGCGCACATGGCAGGTTTTAAACCACCAGGAAAAAAGGACGGACGACAAACTGCCCGAGTGTTAACGGCAGGGGTGTGTGGGCGCTGGGCAAGAGGACGTAGCCGCCGTGAACACACACGCCCACCCCTACGTCCCTCCCCAGTGACCAGAAAGGAAGGTTTCAGAAGCATGAACCCTCGAGGATGAAGACGACAGTCACGTGAGGCCACCCGGGAAGAGGTGAAGGGAGGGACAGGCCGTAGGGGGCTGAGATGTGACGCACCAGGCCGGGCCCAGCAGCACAACCAGGGGGTCCGTCAGAGCAGCCTGACTCCCCACCCTGCTGCCCGCAGAGCCGCGGGGTCCCCGTCCGGATCCAGAGTGAGGGACCACACCACTGGCCCTCCCTGGTCACCTCCCGGGGCAGGCGGACAGGCCTGATGCCCAGGAGGGCAAAGACTGGGCAACGTGACCACCAGGAGAAGAGAGGTGACCCACGGCTATAGGTGCCCGACTCCGACACCCTGGACTCGAGAGACACTGGCCACTGCCCTGTCCCCACTGCACACGGACAACCCCCTGCAAAAGGCAGACACCACACAAGGTGAAGGAAACACAAACGTGTGATCTCGGGGGTCAAAGGCCCTGCGCTCGGCGTGGCGCTGTGAGGGGAGAACGTTCTGGGCGCCAGAAAGGCTGCCGAGAACTAATGGTAACAGCAGAACTTCACAGCCCACAGGACACTGGGAAATTAAGATGTGGAGACGTCCCCACAGCAGAAGCAGGAACATGAGGGAAATGTCAAGGGAAAGACAGCGAGCCATTCGAGAAGCACACCTGAGAGTGAGGACGCTTCCCCAGGAGAGAGGAGGGTCCCGAATCGGGCGGGGGCGGGGGCGGGGGTGGGGCTAGGGGGGCGCTAACCACATAGCTGGTCAGAGCCCTGACCCCCATCTCCAGAGCACGGGGCATGGAGGCCCCCAAAACGACCAGAGAAGGGGGAACGGATCCCACAGAGAGGACGCAAACCCTCACGTGAGATGTGGGGGGCGGCGGGGGGTAGCTTTAACCTGGAGTTCGGATACCCACCTAACCACCAGGCGGGGGCAGAGGATTCAGGGCGTTTCCAGAAAGGCGGCTTCCTAACACCACCCTCCCTCCACCTTCAGAGGGACCCCTGGGAGAAAGGAGGGACAGAGAACGTGAACTAACATGAGGGGCGTCCGGAGGCAACAGGAAAGAAGGGGTCAAGAGCGAGACAGCGTCACCACCCTCCGCCACCCTCCGCAGGGCAGGGAAACGTGGGGGGGGGGGGAGGGGGGCGTGTTCTCCTGTTTCTCAATCACTCTTGTTCTCTGGACACTCAGAGTGGAAGTTAAAAGGGCAAAGAGGCCGGGGACGCACCTCGCAGGGGCAGTGGGAGCAAGTGCCAGTTTTCACTGGGGGCCTCACAGCGGAATGTCACTTTGTAAGCGTGTGTTTCTAATGACAATAAACACTAGGAGCGCCAGCCTGGCTCGGTCGGTAGAGCGTGCACCTCTTAACCTCAGGGTTGTGAGTTCAAGACCTACACTGGGTGCAGAGATTCCTTAAAAAATAAAATCTTTAGAGGCGCCTGGGTGGCTCAGTCAGTCAAACATCTAACTTTGGCTCAGGTCATGATCTCACGGTTCATGAGTTTGAGCCCTACATCGGGCTCTGTGCTGACGGCTCGGAGCCTGGAGCCTGCTTTGGATCCTGTGTCTCCCCCTCTCTCTCTGCCCCTCCCCTGCTTGCACTCTGTCTCTCTCCATCTCTCAGAAACGAATAAACGTTAAAAACAAACAAAAAAAACTTTTAAAAAATTTTTCAAGAATAATGAAAAGAACTGCACCTTGCACAGGGCAGGGCACAGGGTGGGCAGAGCTCTCCCGCATCTTTAAACACGCTCCTAAGCAAAACATGGAACTTGACAAAGCCAGTGTCAAAGTCAAAAGTGTTCGTTCTACTTTTCTATGTGCTCGGATGCTTGTTTTATTGTGAGAAACACTGGGAGGCGTAGGTACAGCAGAATTCACAAAAACCGGCCACCTCTGGGAACTCTAGCCACACCTACTTTCTTCCGTTTGCTGTCACAGGACCAAGCAAGGCTGGGAGGAACAGAGTCAGAAAGCAGAACACAAACATGGTGAAGCAACAAAGAACAGACGTGTAGACAGCGGCCAGGATTCTGCTGGACGGCAGGGAGGCCGCTGTTTCCACCCGGAAGCCCGAACTCAGGAGGGCCAGGAGCCTTCCGGGCAGCCCACCCCAGGCACCCGAGTCCCCTAGAATGCTAAGGAACAGGAATGACAGAGGAGGAGGGACAGGACAGGGCTTCTGGGAAGAAAGGAAGAATCAGACGCCATCAGTAATTCAAAACCTTCTCTGGGCAAAAATCTTCCTCAGAGCAAAGAGGTCTCTGGCGACAAAACTATCTAGGCTTCGAGTCCCACCTTCCGGACACCGAAGTTTTCACTACTAACCAAACCCCCCCCACACACACAGGGCCAGGTGCCGGCCCGAAGGACAGGGTGAGGGACAGGGTGAAGCACAGCAGTAACTCGGGGGAACCCAGGTCCCCCTGGGACTTAGGTACTGTTGTACCGGAGGTCACAATGCTATTCCAGTAAGACGACAACCCTGAGTCCCGATTCCTCACACTCCATTCCAGGGCGACACACACCCACCCCCCTGTGTAAGGCCCTAAGCAGGGAGGCAGCCTGGGACGGACACACAAACGGACACACACACACACACACACACACACACACACACACGGACACACACAGGCAGCCTGGGACGGACACCCCCCCACCCCCCCGCAATGTAAGGCCCTAAGCAAGGAGGCAGCCTGGGTCAGCTCCAAACTTGGGAAAACAAGCACCATCTAGTGGAGAACAGCCAAGACCCAGCACCAGGACAGGCCCCCAGCCGCACGCGGGTCCCCCGCTGGAAGGCGCCCACAGGTGCTCACCACGGAGCCGAGCACTTACCCCGGACGCGGACAAAAGCAGCTCAGGGTGGTCGGGCACCACGAAGATGCGGCTCACAAACCTACAGCGTGAGAGAAGCAGAGGGTGAGCTGAGCTCTGGCACGCTGCTCTGACACCCGCCCGGCCCGTCTGTCCTCGCCAAAGCCCTGTCCCACATACCCCCGAGCCCCAGGGAAAACTAAGGGAGGGTCCACGGGGAGCTGGACAGCGCCAAGCAAGCCGGGGAGCACACCGCGTCATTCTCAGGGCCCAACAACACGACAATCCGCAGGAGGGACCGGCCCAGCCTGGCCGCGCTCCCCACCCTGGCCGCGCTCCGCAGACGCGCTGCTGGAAAGGTCCAGGAGCTTCTGGGCCGCTGCTCGAGCCGCCCCGCTCACAGCCCGAGACCTCCCCTGCAGGTCCGTGATGATGGAGGCCTCAGGGTGGGATCCGTGGGACGGAGCAACAGTGGTCGGCAGGCAGACACAGACCCACTGTCCTTCAGCCCGCGGTCGTCCCCAGAAGCCCACCTCGGAGCCAGCCTCGACCTGCGAGGGAGACGGCCTCCCCGGCTTTCCCGCCAGCTGTATGGTGGTCACCAGCCCACGGCCCCCGGGGACCCCAGGCGGCTGGCCCCAGCACTCCCCCGGCACAGAATGTCCGTTATGGACGCCGTGGGTCACCTCCACGAGTCAAGACGAAACGGTTGTGGAAACCCGTTTCTACAGATTTTACACAAAAGTCTTAAAAATCTATTTTTATTTGGGGCACCTGGCTGGCTCAGCAGGCAGAATGTGCGACTTAATCTCAAGGTTGTGACTTCCGGCCCTGTGCTGGCTGCAGAGATTGCTTAAAAATACTGTTTTTAATCTATTTTTACCACTTATTTGCTCACTGAAATACCTGAGCACCTACGACCTGCCGCTGCGCGGAGGGCTGGAGACAGCAGTAAGCACAGCCCACGAAGGCTGCAGGAGCCAACAGGAGATGGGCCGGCAGAGAGCCCAACAGAAACAGGGCTTCAGCCACGTGACTGGAATTTGCAAGGGACCCCATCTAAGAGTTAGACACCGATGTGGGGCGCCTGGGTGGCTCCGTCAGTCAAGTGTCTGACTTCGGCTCAGGTCACGATCTCATGGTTCATGGGTTCGAGCCCCGCGACGGGCTCTGGACTGACAGCTCGGAGCCTGGAGCCTGCTTCAGATTGTGTGTCTCCCTCTATCTCTGCCCCTCCCCTGCTCACACTCTGTCCCTCTCTCTGAAGAATAAATAAACATTGAAAAAAAATTTTTTCCTTAAAATAAAAGACTGCAGCAAATGAAACTAAGGACTTCTCCTGAGCACACACTGTAATTAGCCTTGACCCCAAGAAGACTGGCATTCTTTGAAAATGCCTCCCTTGCAAAATGTCAAAATTCAACTAGAAGAGAGCTCACTTGCCCTAGAAAAGAGGTCGCAAAGGAAAAACCACTGCCCAGGTTCAGATTTAAGTCCTGGACTGTTCAAACTACGAAAGTATGTCCCCCACACACACGCCTACTGGCCACCGACCGCTGCCCGGCCCTGGCGGGTGTCGGTGCAGAGAAAGGAATGTTCCAGAAACAAGCCCTCGCCTGGAGGCCAACGTGGGGACCACTGGTGAGCGGTCACAGGCGGGAGGCGGCGGGCTTGGAGGAAAGTCCTCCAACACTGAGCGCCACGCTGGCTCCCGTGGGCAGCGTCACCACCATCATCTGTGATGCCCTCGTGCTGGGGTCTGAGACCCCAGTGCTAATGAGAAAACCGGTCCCCGAAACGCACAGGAAGGGAGGGGAAGGGGGAGGTGAAGGTTCTGAAGGGCCCCGGACAGAAGCAAGCACCGGATGGGGCTTCGCCAGGGAGCCGCCCAGCGGAGCGCTGCACACGCGCGGCGGTCCTGCTCCTGCAGGCCTGGCCACAGAGCGGGTGCCCCGCTTCTCGAGCAGCCCGCCTGTGCGTCCCAGACGTCCTCCGGTGGGGCAGGAAGGGGACTCACTCCGTGTGCCCGAGGCAGAAGGACTCGATGCTGTGCGGTGCCGCGGCCCAGCTCACCCGGATTTTCTCGTCCCGGTCGGCGCTGAGGACGTAGCAGTCATCGGGACTCACGGCCTGCACACGAAGGTGACAGAGGACAGGTGAGGGTGGCCGAAGCCGGGACCCCCGCCCCCGGGACTCGTTCCCGGTGCTCCCCAGGTGTCCTCGCACGCACACCGCCTGCACCACCCCTCGACCTCCAGCACCCGCTCCCCGCCCCCTCTCTCCCTCCTCCTCCTCGTGTCCCCATGGCCACCCACTCACCAAGTCCTGGCGGTCTTTCCTTCAAGAAACCCTCCCTCCTTGTTCCTGCCGACGTCCTCGGGTCCCACCCAGTCCCACCTCCTACTGGCCGCCCCCAGCCCTCACCAGGCCCCTCGGTGGGGTAGGTCGTGGCTGAGGGGCCGCAAGGACACGGAGGTGAGGCCCATAAAGCACGGAGAAGAAGCCCAGGCCTGGAGACGGTGCCTGCTCTTCCCACAGCCCTCCTCCGCCTCGGCACGTGACCCGGGCTGTCCCTCACTTCCGGGACCACCCCAACGCCTCCTCGCTGGCCCCTCCGCATTCACCAGCCGCTTCACCTTCCTAAGTCCCACTTGTGAGGCCGCCTGCTCACTGGTCTGCAGAGCTTCTACAGAACCCACACGCCCCCAACGGCGAAGCTTGCAGACCCGGCCTCACCCTCGTCAGACCCTCTGCTCTGCCCCACCTGACTAGCACACCACCCACATACCACATCCAACAACATCGACAGGTGCCCAAGTTCAAGCTTGCCGCATCCCTGTGGCTCCAACACCGAAAAGGAATAAACGTCTCCAGACTTGTCGGCCACCAGAAGTTTCTCCTCGGAGGCTGTGAAGGTCAGGGCCGTGCACCTCCTCACCACGGTCCTGGAAGGCCAGAGACGCCCACAGTTGGCTCGCACAGTCAGCACAGGAAGGGCCGACGGGCCTGCCAGCCGTGCGTCCTTCGGACACGCGTCAGCTCCTCGCCGAGTGTCTCCCCCTCCGGGTACCACAGCAGCACCAAAAAAGCAAGGCAGTTAAGAAATGGAAACAAAGCCAACATCCTAGACAAATCTCACTTTGAAATGATATTTTTGCTTTTATGATGGCAGAATCTGGCCGGTGGATACCTAGCTGTCTGGCACGAAATCCTCTCCAATTTGCTGTGCTTGAAGATTATCCTAATAAGACGTCGGAAGACCTGCTCCTCGACCCAGCAGCTCCACCGTACGGGTCGAGGAAGAAGACGGTCAGCTTCAGAAAACACCCAACTTGCTCTGGGCGAAACCCCGAGCACACGCACGACGCGGGCCCCCTGCGCAGGGAGACTCCACACGCAGCCCGGGGCCCTGCCGCGCTGGACCCACCCGCACTGCTCCTGCCTGCACGACAGGTGCCGGGGTGCGGCCCCTCTCTGCACACACGCACGCGCCGTCCGTCCCCACGGGGGCGGCCCCGGCACGCGGCTGGGGAGGTCTGAGTTCCGGCTCAGGCCCCATGAAAGTTCACACGCTCGTCAGTTCACACCCCGATCCCATTCACCAGGTCGGTCACACCCGCGAGTTGGAAACTGGTTCAACGCTGCGCCAGCCCGAGAAACATTACCGCGTGCGCACGCACGCACGCCTCATCCGGGGTCCTGGCCACCCAGCGTCTCGCCCACTCTCGGGGGCGGGTTTATGCAGCTTCCTCCCGCCCTCCTTCTACACTTCCTTCGCTTCCTTTCTACTCGCTGTCCACAAGGCAAGTCCCTGCACTTCCGGCTCCGTGAGACCCCACCTGCGCCACAGCCTTACGCAGACGTCACGTTTATCTGCCTTACCTGCACTTACGGTCCCTGCCCTCCCTTGTCCCCAGAGGGGATGCGAGTGCACCCCCACGGCGCCCTGCAGCTGGCGCTCCAGATGTCAGCCCGAAATGGAAACCTAAGCTCAAACAAGCTACGTCTCCGACACGAGGACCAAACGAGGATGTCACAGCTTCTCGGGAGCAGAGGAACTAAAGGACAGAAAACGCAGGGAAGAGGGCCGCCAGCAGCAGCTGAACCTCCCCCTCCGCCCGCCAGGGGAGCTAAGAAAGGACGAGTAATGACATAAACGTAGAGAAAACAGAGAAAGACGGTGAGGCTCCGGGCAAGATTAAGCAGAACTCTCCAGGCGCGCCTTCACCTACACGCCGCCGCGGCTCCTAACGGGCGATTACGCAGCTGCCTCGCGGCCACCCTTCCAGAGCAGCGGCCTGGGCCGGTCCTGCAGGACTCACACGGGCACCCCCCACTGCCCCTCTTCCTGATCAGCCCAGAAACGGCCCGGCTCTACAATCTTGTCACTTCGTCTTTTGCCAGTGGGGTGGGGGGCTTCTATCTTCTCAGGCTAAATTAGTCCTTGCAAGGACTCCAGGATGCACAGAGCAGGTGGGGGTGAGGGTCTGCAGGGGCAGATCCCGAGACAGGACAGTCGATGGGTTGGCCACTCAGCCCCCCCCGGAAGGAGGGGTGACAGGGCCCCACCTGTCCTCGGGGTCTCTCCCTTCCCTCCAGAGTCATGAGGTACACAGCCCAGTGTTCCTGTCTTCACGCCCCCCAAGGCCAGCCTGGCCTCTCCCCTGGCCACTATCCTGGTCCAGCAGCTGAGCCCGAGATGCCCCCGCTGGGCTGGGACCCACCCAAGCCCCCCTCCAGAAAGCCATGCTTGTTCAACAAAACTGAGCCCGCCGGGCCCCACAGGGCCCCGAGGATACCAAGCTCCCCAACACCACACACCTCCAGCAGCAAACAATCTCATTTCCCAGGGCTCTGCCTTTCCACATACTCGTACGATTTTAATGCATCTATTTCCCGAAACGGCATGACTTCCTACGTAAGATCTCTCACCAAGAAAACAGAAAATATGTCACACCAAGTGTCCTCATTTTTGGTTCAGAAAACCTGGCCTCAGTTCCAGGCCTTTGTCATCCTGAACTGAAACCTTGAAAACAATCACTGCTACCCACGACTTCCATCTGGGCTTTTCCTCAACACCCTCCATGGCTAGGTTTTAAGGCCACTGGACAGCTCCGAGCTGTGACGAGTCTTGGTCAAACACGCGAGTCCACGATGCTCCCAAGACTGAACTGAAGGTCAAGGATGGCTGTTTTTCCGAGGAAGGGTCCATCTGTCAGGGCCGCCCCCCACCCCCCGGCCCCCACCAAGCACAACAGGTGCTGCATTGGGCAGCATCGCATCTTACGTTGCGTTCAGGGTAAAGGTGTAGGACGAGGCAACGTGGGAAACGCAGCCTCTAGGACCGCAACGTGATCTGGCCCGCAACCTTCGCTCGGTGGCTGACACAGACGGGACAGGAGTCCCGTGGGGTCCCGCCCAACTGCCAGCAAGCACCGTCTGCAGGGCACGCTGTACCCCACCCGCGACACGAGAGGCCCTGCACACCTAATGCACGTTTGCAACACAGTCCTTTGTTGGCATCAACATAAAAACCAACAGCCCAGGGGCGCCTGGGTGGCGCAGTCGGTTAAGCGTCCGACTTCAGCCAGGTCACGATCTCGCGGTCCGTGAGTTCGAGCCCCGCGTCGGGCTCTGGGCTGATGGCTCGGAGCCTGGAGCCTGTTTCCGATTCTGTCTCCCTCTCTCTCCGCCCCTCCCCCATTCATGCTCCGTCTCTCTCTGTCCCAAAAATAAATAAACGTTAAAAAAAAATTAAAAAAAAAAAAAAAAAAGCAACAGCCCAAATACGATTAG